GGCTGTGTTTTTCATGATCCCCTTTAAACTAAAAAGTCTAAAGCAGACCTTTTAGACTTTTAGACCACCCAGACTAATGGGACTGATCTGATGTGAGGATTTTTGAAGAAACTAAAAGCATACCAGCGACTGCAAAAACCAAAGTACTCTCGGTGGGGATCGAACCCACGACCTTGGGTTTATTAGACCCACGCTCTAACCAGCTGAGCTACGAAAGCAGATACTATACTATTCTCCCCGGAATTTCTTAATATACAATTTCATGAATTATATTTCTAGACGGTAAGTTCTACTAGTACCGGTACCGGTATCAGTCACAAACTTATTCAACTACCCGGATACTGCCTGCTCGTATCGTAGTACGTACCATATCTGATACGGACACGACGAACCAYACTCGTACAGATTGGATAATTACGGTTGGTACCTGGTACGCAATGAACGTCGTTGGGTAAAAAAACCAAAAACCCCTTGAAAGATGTGAATTGTTCCATGATGAAAAGTGACAGATTCTCAGAAGATCGTGTTCTCGAACGGGTGAAGGAATAATTTCTGTTACTGTATTCTATCGCAAGAATATCTTTCTTGATCTCATTGCACTATATTTTACTATGTGGCAAACAACGCCAGAGCAACCCACGATACACCCCCACGTCCCGAGTTTGTTAGCATTTCCAGACTGGACCCCGGGGAAGGACAGCAACGCAGCCAACAACAAAGATAAGGAACACGAACACGATCGACCTTTCCTCCAGGTCGTCTTGCCGGGAGAAGGACGCAACCGAATGGTGGTCTCGAATCTGATCGGGAGCCATTGCGACTATATCGATTCCAACGAATCCAATCGAAATAAGAAGAGGAATTGGCCCACACGTCCTCTCTGCATCCACTATCCAATCCTCGTCAGAGACACACCAGAATCCATCGGCATGGAAATACCTAGAGGCCGCACCAAAACGAAAACCAGTTCCAAAGCCAAGAATCACACCGACAAGCGAAAGCGACCGTCGGAGTGCATAAAGAAAAGCAGAAACGATCCCTTTTCTATCCGGGACGTTGCCAGGGTGGTTGGAATCGCAACCCCAGTACAGATGATCGACTGCTCGACCCAGAGGCTCTCCAGCGACTGCGAAGACTGGACGATCGGACACCTGCTGGAATACCTCGAAGACGAGCAGCGGCAAGAACTCCTCCTGATGTCGGTGAAACCTCATCCGACAACAACAAGAACAACAACAACAATAACGACAACAAAAACACCACCACCGGCATCCCCTCCGCCAAAACTTGCCACAAGTGCAGCAACGTCATGTGTAGTCTCGCCGAGCACCGGCCGGAAGCGCCGCCAGGCAGCCCTACGATCGGAGGAGCGGGTTGCCAATATTCTCCACACCGAGCAGCCCGGCAGCGGTGCATGTTTCTCTACCAATCACGGGGAGCAGCAGCAGCTGCAGCAGCACGGCAATTTCGGGGTTGCCGGGCAATTTCGAGGAAAGATCCTCAACCAGATCTCCTTTGAATTCAGTGGAACGCCCCTTCACGACATGGTTCGATCTCCCGGTCTAGTGCGAGCCATTGATTGGATCGATAATGCCTGGCCTTCCRGAGAGAAATACAAAACAAACAAACGGGGTCCCAAAGAAACCGGATCGACCGGCAGCAGGGCTCCGGGGGGAAGGACTGGTACTGCTAAAGGAAACAACAGAAAAGCAACCAAGGGGTCCATCGATTGGGAGTACCCTGTCGTCCAGTACTATTGTCTCACCTCGGTGTCCGGCGCTTATACTGACTTTCATATTGACTTTGGTGGATCCTCTGTCTGGTACCACGTAGTTTCCGGAAGCAAGATATTCTGCGTTCTTCCCCCCACGGATACCAATCTCGAGGCCTTTCAGGAATGGCTTTGCTTGGAGCAACAGAGCAGCGTGTTTCTACCGGATCTTGTTCGAGACAGGGCCGATGGGAATGGGGATGGTTGCAGCGAGACCACTGGCAGGAAGTGCTATGTCAGCGGATTTGACCGCGACTCCTTTTCACCCGATGCGACCAGGGACTGGGACCGACACAATACCGCTGCCTTTCGGTTTTTATTGTCCGAGGGAGAGACTCTGATCCTGCCGGCCGGATGGATTCATGCCGTCTACACCCCCCGCGACTCCCTAGTCTTTGGCGGAAATTTTCTCCATGGATGGGACATGGGGATGCAGCTGAAGGTCAACAAGCTCGAAGCCCACTGCGGCGTCCTAGACCGCTACCGTTTTCCCCATTTCGGAGCCCTGCAGATGTACGCCGGGGGGGCATATCTCGGGCGATTGCGGGAGGAACGGGCGTCGGCGGCCACCAAATGTCGGAGGAAGAGAAACACAAAAGCAAAGCCGCGAAACCGCAACGCTGAGGCTTTTGTATCGGACCAGGAACTGAAGGAGCTGTCGTTCCTCATCAACGAACTCGATTATTGGTGGGCGTTAGAACAAGACGACCGGGGTGACGGGTATTCAAACAAGTCGTCAAAGAAAAAATCAAAATCAACTCATACCCGAAAACCAACAAAAATGGCGAATGCCGGGAACAATAGAGACAAAAAGGATGCCGGATTTCTGCCGAATATGGTGTTGGTAACATCACGTGCCTCTTTTCGAAAGGCAGCCCTTTGTGTGTTAAGGGAGACTGGGTGCAAATCTGTGGAGGACTTTCTTGCATCCCTGCGCGAGGAGCAGGAGTGGGCAACGAACGATCGGTTGCAAAAGCAGAACAACCTGTAGAACGAATAGCACACAGCACAGGCAGAGAATGCGATCGAGAAATGGGATTCTACTTGAAAGAAGAATACGTTGGAGTAAATTCTAGAAAAGAAAGAATCAAACGAGAGTGGCACAGTTCTTCAAAATTGGAGCTTTGGGTAACCGTTAGGACTTGTGAATGGAGACAGGTGTCGCCGCMATTGTCGTCATTCTTGTACCTGTCGCTGCTCTATTTCCGCTTTGAGTCCAGAATTTGAAGCATAATTTCTTTGTGACACTAATGTCGATCAGAAGGTTGTGATATTGCTTATAGCTCGTGACCGGTGGGTTGTACATGGTTGCTAACACGTTTGATATGGAGATCGAGGCATCATATTGCTTTAGTTATCTTTCTGAATCAAAATAAATCCATTTACCCTTGAGCATATGCATCATGCATTCTTTATTATCAGTCTTCCCCATGGATGGGCATAGTATGCACACCCCTATCTCTACACAGGCGAAAAATCGCGATGGCAGTGGTGGTAGTCTTGCGCTGAAGAACACTATTTTGAAGGGATCCGAACAATGTTTCTTAATGACGAAACTAACTGCTTGTGGAGACGAGGAAATTCGTCATTGTCAGGATTCTTTCGTTTCTTTTCAGAAAAAAAAGCCTATGCGACTGTCCGAAGAACGGAAACAAGAATACAGTCATTGCGAATCCCATTGAAAGACCCAATGCCAACAATGGAGACGGATCGAAATGATGGCATTCCAATATCTTTGTATTGAGAGCAGGGTCGACAGGAACTGCCTGCCAATTTCAAATGATTGTGATGCATGATTTGCAAACTTTATTAGCGACAGAAAAGAATTACCAGAACCAGTAGCAGGAGGAGGGTTTCGATTTTTCTCTGATGGGTACCTCTCGCTTCACGTAGCTCTTCGAGTTACACGTATGCAGATTCCTGGACAAATTCGGACGTCCTTACTACCCTCTTGATGCAAGGGGCAATATATTTCATACGGCACACTCAAGGTCTCATGGTTGTCTTTGCTTTTCATTCAACACCGATCCTCCCTCAAAAGGGGGTCGCAAGGGGTAATTGTTCTTTTTGTGGCCTCATTCGGTCTGAAAGTACAGATGGGTTTCATATAGCTTGCAGGAAGATTTTTTCCCTTTTCCTCTTTCACTCTAATCTCATTAGGAAATGTTCCTGGAACCTATCGGGTGACGAAGGGTCAAGTGACAATGTACCAAGCTGTCAAAAGACACAGGGATTTGAAAGTTTGTGTCGTAATTGTGCAAGTTCTGATCTTATGTTCACTGCCGTTTAACATACGATAGCGAAGAGAAGTTGAAACAGACACGATWTATGAAGATAAAAATCTAAAGGCAATTTTTGATTACCCTGCTATTCAACACACGCGCGGAAAAGTCTATTTCAAGACTATCCCGTCCCACATCACTTTATTGTAACCCAGCTGAAATGCGGCAGCTTGCTTGTCTGACGAGAGCGCGTCCCATCTCACACTAAAGGTCTTTATTTTCAGTTTTCTTTCCCATGTGTTCTGTCCAAATCCCAGAGAAAGTGCTGCGCGTCTCTGTCTTTCTGGCAAATTTTTCCAAAGAAAAAAATTATTATACGCTGGTTTGTACCGTAGTGATTTCAATTCATCACGTACTTCTGGACGGTTATGAAAAACCTGCGATCGATTTTGAAAATACAAAGTTGAGAATATGTTATGACCAAAACGAAGGGGAGAAAGTAAATAAATGTCAAGTTTTTCAACGATGAAAAGGAATGGTCGAATTGACTTCGTCGTTTCGTCCTCACCTTATCGGGATTAATCTCGCAATATTTCCCCTTCTGCTTATTCTGAGCAAACAATCTTTCGTGCTCTGCTTTTGCCTGTATCCATCGTTTCTCTCTTTCTTCTGCCAGTTTCTGGTTCCTATCCTCGTTGCTGCCGCTATGATGGAGTCTGTTTGAAGCGCTATATGTGGCAGCTGTTGCTTGGGACAACATCGGCGTGTGTTTATACATGAGATCCATGAATGTTCTCGACGCGTTCAAAAGTCGCTCTTCCAGGTCGGGGGTGATGCAATCGAAATATTTTTCCGAGAAACGTTCTTCGAACGTACTATTTACTTTTGGGGTTTGGGAATACACACCGTGGTTTTCCAGAATCTCATTCGCACGCTCGAGGAGATTTGGCATTGTGTACCCGTTGACGGTCACGGCGTCAGATGGATCCTGCATGATTCCCCCTTCATTCAGTTTTTCGAAATATTTTGTACCATACTCCTCATATGGAAAAGGTTTGATGTCACCCCGACCCAACAATTCTTCCACGATTCGTTTTGCATGGTGATCAGAAGAGGGTCGGACCACCATTGTCTGCTTGCCATTGTTCTTTTCATCGCTATTTGAATTATCGCCATTGCTGTCGGCTTTGAGGTTTCTCTTTGCACCGGGCTTATTGCCTCTTCCGATGTTGTTTAAAAAGTCCGTGGTACGATTTGGATGGAGTAGGGAGTGGAAAGAGTGCAGATCCAAGTTGTCATAGTCGCTCTTGTCGTACTTGCCATCGGCTTCATCCATCATATTTTGGCACGTGTCATTCGCGCTCGGCAACATATGGCAGATAAAATCCGTCACCATATCGTCCTCCGGGCGGTTCATGTTCATAGGAGAGTGCATGTCGTAGACCTGCACCTGGTTTGGCAACGGAAAATACGCAGACCAAACTGTGTAGAGCCACCACGATGGATGAATCGACTGACGATTCGTGGGAAGCAGTGACAGCGGGGAATGTCCCTCGTGTATCAACGTGGCGTTTTTCCGGGCAACATATTTGTCAACCTTCCGTTGGTGGGCTTCCCACTTGGTCAGGTATTCGTCGATGTACTCAAGCAAGGGTCTGACGCGAAAATTATCGTGCCACTCCCTATCCATGACCGAGTTCAGCCTGAAAAATTTTTGGTAGTAAAAACTCGGGAGCCAGTCGACAAAATGCCGGTAGGCAAGCACGATCCGGACCTTATCGGGTGGAAAACCGGCGCCATGACCATCCTCAGTCGAAAGAATCATGGATCGGGTTTGCTCCATGATCTCTCTCTGAACGGAGAGTTGCGAGCCGAATTGTTCACTCGACAAAATAACCGAGCGATTCTTGGACCGCAAGAAGCTGGCCCGATCTATGAACCTTTGACGATGCTTCTCGGCTTCGATTGCCTCGACATATCTACTCACAGGTTCGTGGCACCTTTTCGCTTCGTAGTCACTGCGTGACTCCGCAGAATGTAGTGCGACAAGAATCTGTAGCCGCAGAGTGACTTGTTCTCCGTTTGGCATGAAGTATTCTTTTGTCTGCATGCCACAGCCCCCGCCAAGGAAATGATATCCGTCGGTCTTGGCAAGTCGAAGGGAATGCTTTTCCAGGCCGCACTGGACCGTCGTGGTTGCAGTTTTGGGTGGGCCGATGTGTAAGACGAACCATGGACCGTCGTTTTCGGAAGCGCTTTCGTTGTCACTGCTGTTTGCAACGAAACTTTTTTGGTCAGAGTCTAGATCGACAAACAGCTGCATGCCTCTTGCATGCACACCCATCGTTTCTTCCCATTCACCTGCGGCGCTCGTCGTGCTTTGGGCGATATAGGTGGATTGGCGTTTTCGGAAGTCCATCACGTATTTGGCCATATTTTTTTTTCTAAACCTGGCATTTTGTTCCAACTGGTATTGAATCTTCCTCATTTTGGTGTCACTACAGCTCTCGGGCGTGCCGTGCCCCCCTGACCAAGATAATTGGCCCTTCCTCATCTTTGACATTTTCGTTTTTTTCTCCATCGAAAATAACTTGTCCTGTTCCCCTCCATCGATGATACTTTGCTTCTTCTGAAGTTGTTGTGGTTTCTTTCCCGTCTTGTTGATCTTGTTCTCATGCTGCCCCTGAGTTATCTTCTGATTCTCGTTCTGTATTCGTTGTTCTGTTATCTGGTAGAAACTTTCGCTCGATAGAGACGCATTGCCGTCTTGGCGCTCCCGACCCAGCTTCTCATTGTGACGGAGGATGAACACCTGAAGGAACGTCAACGATACTAAGGCGGTCACCCAAACAGCGGTTCCGAGGCAGAACAGCGAAATCCTCCTTCTCTTGTTGCGGTTCGTTTGAAGTTGCTTTCGCATTGTATGTCATAAATCACCTTGTTGCATATGTTTCCTACGGTGGGCGCTCGGTGTCTTGACAGCAATGATCGATCCACTCCGTATTTTCCGACGCCTGTTGCAGCAATCGGAAGGACTACAACCATCGGAGAGAGGCGATCGGACAAGATACCACCTACCGTTTTCTACGCTGCGAAACCGTTCCGTACGGTACACTACTAGCACCTTCTACGGTCAAATTAATGGGTCATTTCCGTAAACATACTACGTACGAAGTAGAATCTATGACGACATAAAGGTTATTTCGATATAAAATTGCAGCCAAAATTAACGCGCGATTTTCACCCACCCACTAGTATACCTTTGGCAGACCAGTTCTAAGCCGCCAGAGCATCCTTAAGCATCCCAATGACCTGGATCACTAAGTAATTGTATCATCTTGGTCTGGGCGCTTAGTCTGGTGGTCTAAAGTTGGTTTTTGATAAAGATCTGGCCTATTTTCTAACCAGCAGGCGGTCTTGTAAACCGGCCAATTTTGGCCAGCATACCGGCTGTTAATGGTGACGTATACAGTCATGTAGATTGAATATATTGAAAGTGACTGACATACTTGTGATAGCTACTTAAACAGGGCATTTGTTGGCATATCAATTCAATTTTACTGTCATTTGGGTTCTACTGGTCTTATGAACACCAGATTGTCCCCCCAGGCCCCTAATCGTGTAACAATGACACATGGGGCTGTTCCCAATACTATTAAGAAGCTTTTCCCCAAAGGGGATCTCATTAATACAAGCCTTTCCGGAGCTGTTGTGTTTAGCTTATTTTACCTCATTGAGCTGTTTGTAGTGGTAAAAGTGACCGAAAACTAGTAGATCTGTGTAGGACCAGTACTAGAATATTTGGCTTCAAAATTAACCGTGATTTTACTACTAGTAATAATTTTTTCTGTTGGAGTAGAATGACATTGAGGTCTGTAGGCCCTGGTAGGATTTTACTGTTAACGCATTTTACTTCGAAATAACTGGTACCATAGGAAGTGATCAGTGGCATGAAGAAGTAGAAGCGACTCATGCTCAGAACTATCCTGATGTCAGTTGGGATGTCTCCTCAATCCATAGGAAGTATTCAACCCTTCAGAGGAAGAACATCCCTACTGGAGATCCAAGCTGTCCTTTGGAAGTGAGACTTGCCAAGAGGGCCAAGTATTTGATTGGCTTGAAGGCAGATATTGAAGGAGATAGAGAGGAGCACTTTGATATTGAGAAAGATATATCCATCCTCAGGGTTGTGATGGTGACAATCCTGAAGGCAATCAGCATCTCCAAGCTCCTGGAAACATCAACAGCAGCAAAAACAGTAGCAATGTTAGTTGTGACAGGAACAATGGCAACAACAATGCCAACGTGAACAACAACAACAAGGACGTGCCTACCCCCTCCACCATTCCAACAAGCTTCCTCAAAAGAAAAAGAAGGTTCTCAAGGACTTACTCAGAAGGAAGATGATACTACTCAGAAGACTTGTACCAGCAATGGTGGCACAGGTGTTGCTGCAGTTGCAGTTGTCGATGTGACAGCAACTGCAAGAAGAACTGTTACACCCAAGAGAGGAGCCCCCCGAGTCTGATCTTACAACACTGCCAAAGCAAAGGAGCATGTCATCGTAAAGGCCTTGGAGGCATGTGTTGAACAGCGCAAGAGAGCTCCTGATAGAGCCAGGGAAGAGAGGAAGGAAGCTAACCAGCAGATTGGCAGTGCTCTTGGAGCCCTGGTCACCATTGCCATGCAGCACTTCAGTCCAAAGGTCAGCAACAAACACTGCCCCCACAGTGATTCTTCATCATCATCGTCTGCTGCCATTCATCATCCATCCATAATGCAACCATGTAGAACACAGTACATAATCTATCTAGGTGCACCTAGCAGGTGCACCAAGCCAGTACGCAGCATGCTAGAGTATCACGATGATTGAAGAGATGTACTCACACACTCACATGCAAGGCAAACTTTATGAAAGAAACACAAGTCAGGAGAGTAATTCTCAACAATCATCACAGCACGACTGGCACTAATATCATTACCCTTGCCTGCTATCTTACAAGCCCCTGTTGTTGAGGCTAACAAAATACTCACAGTTAACATGCACACAGTACTCTTTTTATGTTTTTGCATGTAGTTAGGAAACAACACACAACAAAGAACAAACATGCCAATGACAGCTTTAAGAAGCAGCAACAGCCGGTCCTGGAGCAACACATGTCCTCCATGGGCCTCATGAGGACCCATAGCTTTAAGAATATAGGAGACCTTCTTGGTTGGACCACCATACACTGTAAAGATTCTTCTAACAGCAACTTTTCAAGGAATATAGTAGTAAGCCCCAGCACCACACAGCTCATATGATCCATCAATCCAAGCAGTATTTGTCTTGGGCAATCGCGTTCCTCCCTTACATTCTTAGACCATCTTAACTTTGCTGTAAGGAACTGGGGAAATTCAGCTGATTTTTCTATGCTAGTATCTTTCCCCACATGCACCATATCTTCTTTCCGACCTATCAAGTGGAACTGGAACTTGAGCATTGGAAGATACTACCTTTGTCAATTGGTAATACTGGTACCATGATTTGCCATCAGTTCTAGTGTTTGCAAAAACTCATCCTTGATAAGAGACCTACTATCCATTCTTTTTGCCTGCCCAAGTCCTCTCCTAGTTTCCTTCTTAATTACAGCAGAAATCAAATCATTAACTTGCTGCAACTTGGTAGGGTTGCCACTTCCAACACCAGCAACCATAGTCCATTTGTGCAGCTTGTTTGGCATGAAGTATGCTATTGCTTTCCTCTTGTAGTAGATTAGAAAAGTCAATCTACCATGAGTAGGATTATCATCCACACCTCTTGCCCAAAGGCTTTCTTTGCAAAGAACCTGTAGATATGATCAGGCATTAGAAGACTTAGCTGCTCTGGCGTGAATATAGTATCATTTGGAAATCAATTATCATTATCTCCTCCATCAACTCTTCCATGTACATGATCCATTAACTCCAGTAGAATCTTATGGTATCTCCCCCATGATTGAGCTGGCTGGCTCATGCCTCATGGAGGCGTCACAGTCCCCCCTGCGTTTCTGAGGCCAGAGACAAGGGTGATGCATGGTCCTTGGTGTTCTTTCCATTAGTACTAGTTACTACTAGCAGCAAGGATATCTTGTTTGTTTGCTTCTTTGTTGCTGGTTTGTTGGATTTTTGCTTGTACTTGTTTGCAAGGACTGCATTATTTTGTGAGCTAATTTGAGCGTAAAAACACAGCAGAATGGTGGTTGCATTCTCAGTATAATTTGCTCTGTCTTGAGCAACCAAAACAGGTATGGATGCAACCACAACAGAAAAGCTAACACAGTTGGAACGTAGAATTCCTACCACAAAATATGTAGCATATGTAAGTACYATGGTGGTAAATAGAGTAGAACTAAGTAATGTGTTATAGCCTACATAAAATCCTACCTATTTTAAGTACCGGTTGACTCCTACAACCGTTTTGAGAAATTGGTTGCAAAACATTCAAAATTGGTGTGTAACATACCAAGGCCATAGTACTCTTACTGGACCCACTATATTTACCACTGTACTCACATGTTTTACATATTTTGTGGTAGGAATTCTACTGTACAACCACCATATTAGCTCTTTGGTTTTGGTTGCTTCCGTACCTATTCTGGTTGCAAAATAGAGTCCAATTTGTACGTAAAATGCAACCATTTTGCAACTCCCACATGAAATATTAACTCCCACAGCAGCACTGTAAAGTATTGAGCCAAAGACTGAGATTTTTCTTTGTACTACTAGTATTTAGCTCTTTGCTCACAAAATGAAGCTTCTAATAAGCAAATCAGCAAGCAGCAAGAACCAAGCAAATGCACCATGTTAGCAGCAACAGGAACAGGAACAACAAGGCACAAAGCTTGCAAACAACAGGGGAGGACCATGATCCTGCAAACAATAGGGGAGGGCTGTGATCCTGCAAATGACAGGGGAGGACTGTGATCCTCCACAAGATGTGACAAATCATTGGCAATGATGCCGATTGCAAGCCCTTGAGTTGATAGGGGATGAAAGAACAAACAGACTAATGAATCAGTTGAGATCCTTATGGGGGGGGGGATGCATCAAAATTTTGTATTGTCAACAATGTTGTCGTTGAGTCGCGGCTGCTTCTTAATCTGTCTTGTCCATGCCATATTTTTGTTGCGTGTCCTCTTTCCTTACTACTAGTACTTGCCCCCCCCATATAAAAAACATAAAAAAATAGTGTACTGTGTATGTTAACTGGTGTGCTTTTGCTACTTTGCTATCCTCAACAAGAGGACCATATTCATAGCTAATAGGAGTGTTGGTATCAGTGTTGTCGGTGATTCGAAGTTATTGTCGAGAATTACTCTCCCAACTTCTGTTTTTTACGATTGTGCGAGTACGGTACTTCTCATCAATCACCCTGATACAGTACTACCGTACGAACCACGCACATGCTTGGTGAACCTATGTATATTATGTACTACATCTTACATGGTTGGATTTTTAGTTGATATTCCTTTGTGTACCTGTCCGGTAACGTACGGTACTACGGTACCGTAACCAGCCAGTACCGGCCGGTACCGGATGGCTTTCATTGAAATCAAAAGGAGTACTCGTAAGTACGTAGTACTGCGAAGTATGATTGCTCTTTAGTGYCATAATTAAGTGTTTACAATGGGTCATTCCCGAAAACATATATCTGTGTACTTTTTGGCACGCCCGGCTCGGTTTATGTAAAAAAAAACATAAATTTTGGAAGAGGTGGGCCCACTACTACCAACATTTATGTAATTTACATATTTTTTCATCGGAATCCTTGACTTAAACATTTCCAGTCTCGGGAGCAGTCTCGGGAGCAGGCGCGCCCTAAACAGGCGGCAAACCGATTCAAGTGTCAAGGAAGAAAAAARCACATCTTTTCTTCGACAGCAACAAAGAGAAGGAATGACAACAAAGAGAAGGAACAACAAAGAGAAGGAACAAAGAGAAACAATGCTGATGGTTGGCGCGTGGAGCCCTGTACTTAATTGTAATACTAGCATCCAGATTCTTCTGTTGTGGAGGATGCAGCAGCAAGCGCGGCTTGCTAAGAGGAGGGAAGAGAGCCGGCGCTCTCTTCTTGAGAGGGAAGAAGACATCGAAATCCCATGTGTGATTAGCATACCCTCCTCTTTGCTCCTGGCTCATAAAAGGATCATGGCTCCACCAGCTCCAGCAACAGCAACAGCAACAGCAGCAACAGCTGCAAGGTCGACAGGAGGAGCTCCTTCTTCTTCCAGAGGAGCTTCTTCTTCCACCACGACAAGGACTGTCGTGGCCGTGGAAAGAGGAGGAAGATC